GACTATGAAATCATTATCTAGTAATAAGGAATCATCAATCATTCAGTATTTCATAAGCAGATCAATCAGTGAACTCATTCCCCAATGAGCACCTGTATTGTATCCCTAGTGTTCCCACACGAGCAGCTATGAGACTAACTGCATTCATCATATGGACGAGTATACAACACATCAGGCTGTTCGGTTATCTCGATGTCTCTCTCGAGTAACCTATGACTAGGATTATTTAAGATCTGTGTTTAAAGACGAATTGGTTTCATTATCATGATCTCATTACGATCCGATTCTCATTGCACAGATCCAAGGACATCATAATATATACATGCATATATGTAATAGTCAATATAAAGTGATAAAATGTCAAAATATAATAAGCAAAAAGATTACGTTTCAAGTCTCACGTGTCATCACTCACGTGATTGACTTATAGAGCAAATATGACTAGTAGTGGATTCATAAGAGTGTTGCATGCTACAAAACAGATCTATTGATTATAAAGAAATAGACACATATGTAAGATGACTAATAGTATGACCATGGGCATGATAGTATCATGGTATTGTAGAGATAAGACTTTTATAGAGTAATCGATACTTTGCTCTCATAGATGAAGAGTATATGGTCGTAAAACAGGGTCAAGGAGATAAAGAATATATAGATAAACTTTGAGTATCGAGACAAGACAAAAGGGCAGAGGTTAGGAAACTTTATAAGATCGGTGTCGATTGGCTTCTCATTAAGATAGTCATAAGTCATCGACTTTGGGTTGATTTAGGAGTGCTCAACCAAGGGACGAAGTAGGTAGTACATGATGTTGTACCTTTTTACTCAAAGGAGTAGTCGATGAAAATGATAAAGAAGATGGTATAATCCCAAATGTTACCATAACTATTGGAGACTTGCTCTAAGACGGAGTGAAATTTTACTCTTTTTGGGTAAGACTTTTTGTATTCCGGAAGTTTGATGGCAATGAAGAGATAAATTACAGTAGTTAACTTAATGCAAGGAGTGCAAACATTATAGGTGCTTTAGAAGTGTGAGTAAAGAGTAGATAAAGGTTAGTAGTTAGCTTGATATATAAAATACAATCATTGAAGAGGCGAACAAAGTTAAATAATTATTATCTTCTCAACTCTTAAGAGAATTGGTAAAATTAAATACTTCGATTCTCTTATTTATCCAGCAAAGGAGTTATATACATATTCAAAGATCTTTTGAAGGAATTTAGTAAAAGACAATAGTTGTCAAATTCGCACCAATAGTGATCAATTTTACCGAGAGTAGATTGTCCATTTTATTTTTTAATAAAGTATTAATTAGAAAAAAAAGTGATATGAACCTACTTAGAGATCATAACTAAACAAAAGAGGAGCCGGTGGATAAATTTTGTAAAAGAAAAATCTTAAAAACTTTAAAGTTTGTAAAATATTGTTTGTTAAAGCTCTAAGAAACATTCACCTAATTGAAGCAGTGTAAGTATTTGAGAGACTAACACATAATAAGAAATATCTTTTTCTTTATCTGAGAGATATGTAGGAATCGTTAAATATCAACATAACTCAATCGATCCTACGTTAAAGTTAAAGTCATTGGCAACTTAAAACAATATTGACAGATTAAATTTTCACTATTCAACAATAGCAATAGGGAGCAGTTAAAAGTTAAGATACGTGTATTATAGTTAAAGTAGAAGATTGAAGATTTAATAAAGATAAAAAGATGCAATATCCACAAAGGTTTCGAAGAGAATATCAAAGGAATAAGTGAGAGAAATTGTCATAGATAAATCTATACATAAGGTATTCAACATGATATTTATATATGTGTTTATCTTTTTATTTTGTTCATGCTTTGCATAACTTATGGAGAGCTTATAGTAAACTTAACGATCCTATTATGATTGGCTTTTATGGCTGTTTTAGTCTTGTAAATATAGGTCATGTGTAATTATCATGCATAGATAAAATTACCAAAAATAAGTCATCTATATGATCATTTTAAGGGTTTTCTAATTTCACAAAGTGGTGTAAAATATTAGCCAGTAGTACAACACCTTAAAACTTCCTCGATAACATATAATTAAATGGGCCTTTGGGGTATTATTATGGTTGCTTCATTGTCTTGCTCAACAACTGTGTTATGTGATTACTTGTAGGGACTTTTGGTCGAAGCGAATCACTTTATATCCTTTCACATGTGATCGTTTAAAGTTTATAAAATTTATATTTATAATTTATATTATCTATTAATTATTTATTGAAATATCTACTTGTGGAATCTTGAGTTAATTTTTTTAAATTTATCTTTTCTTTTATAGGCCCTTACGAGACCATAAGAGGTTTTGGAAAAGCTTATTTTTGTGGATGGATACACAAAAGTACTATATGACTTAGGCAAAACCATATAAGTTTGTAAGAATAAGATGAAATTATTTCTTCCATCAAATTTTTTCATAGTAAAACCAATAAAAACAATCGATGATATTTTTGTTGAATCTCCGATCATCAAAACTTTTGGATTTTGATACCACTTTGTTTTGTCACAGAGGGAGAAGAAAATTAAAAAAAAACACTTAGAAATCAATAAGTTAAAGAAATATATCAAAATGTGAAAGCACGATTAACATTGACAAATCCCCACCTACATCCATAGTTAAAATCAGATTCTTCAATATATAATATTAATTACAAGGTCGTTAGGTTATCCTCACTCAAGTACAACTTCTTTTGGTTACCTCATACATAAAGAACTTTCTTAATTCTCTCTAAAAGCTCTAGAGACTCTATTAATCCTCTCTCAAAGCTCACAAGAATAAACTTCTTATTTTAATTTAATTAAGACTCTATTAATTAATTTAAATATAATTAATAATTTTTTTAAAATTATTAATTAAAAAAAGGGGGGGATCGCCTTGCCCTTCACTTGGGAACACGTGATGCGAAGAGCTCGATGATTTAGACATTGTTAAGGTGGTTTTCTTCTTCGATTTTATCCAAAACCACACAATTCAATTCCATAAGGTCATTCCAAACCATCACTTTGCTGCTCTCTCTATTATCACTGACTATAGTGTCAGATACAAGATGGGTATACAAACTAAAGGCACGTCACAACAAGCTCAACTACTAAACACCTCCTCGACTATTGTATATGTCTTTCATGCTCCTTAATGTGCTCACATTTCATCACCTCAGAATACATCTCCTTGATGTGCTCACTTCTTTTATCATATGGCAAGATCTATGATAGTGGAGCTCAGTTTCTCTTCTGCGTTATTGTGTTCACTGGATGTGAAATGTATCTTAATTAATGGTGGAGATCTCATGCAAGGATGAATGGGGGGTGCATGAGAAAGTATTTGGTGTATCTATCTTGCTTCACAATTTTAATGTTGTCTTGTCTTGTGCTGTCTGTGTCTGACCATATGATCAGAATGCCTCCACCTTTGCAATCTCTCCAACCTTGGGATGGCATACCATGTACTAGTTATGTCCTCTATCTAACAGGATTCCATCCTACATTACCTTACTGTGGTAACATCACTGGTTAGTGTCAGCTTGGATGCTTCAAAGGTAGGGTTTCGTGACCCAACTTTTAGGTCTATGAACCAAATTAAATTGCTTCTACTCCCTTAAAATAGTCCTCTAATGAATGAACTATACATATACCTTTCAAATCAGGCATTAATTTTATGTAAACACTTCAACGGAGATTGACCAATAAAAAGAAAACATGCATTCACACAAATCACTTTCACTAATTTATCTTGGTCAAGAAACAAAATTTAACTTAGGCTAATTATCTTCGTTTTTCTTGAGAGTAATAAATAATTCCGTCGATGTCAAAGTTCAGCTGAAATGTAGGCATTAATTGGGTTCATTTTCCTAAGACCATTTGCTTCTTAATTGCATGCATCTCATGCACGTCCAAAGGCTATTATCCCAAACTCACGGCGCTTTAAAATGAATGCCATATAAGATATAGAACCTCACATATAGAAAGAGTCAAACCTGCTTATTCAGCACTGTCTTGATCTTAATCATCAACATAAAACACAAGACATGATCACCTAATCATCAAAAATTAAGGCAAAAATTTCAAAAAATATTTTATGAGTGTCATGCTTTAGCTATGAGACATCTAAACCTAATGGTTGACCTCCATCTCCATTGCAAAAGCATGATCATGTTACTCATTAGAGATTCCCAAGTGTCAATATTGCTTTGTGGCCACTGCAGTATGTCACCGCTGCCAGCTTCTTAGATAGCTCCAAACTTGTCTTAGTGTACTGTTTTACGAATAGACTACAGTATGTGTAGCTGTTCGCTTTTCTTGGTAATGGTGTAAAGCTGTCTCTCCCAATAATAAATACAGGAGCGTTAATTACCTATCAACTTGGATCTAATCTTGATTAGAATTCCCGATTAGAGATTTGATCGGAGGCTGTCCCATATTAACCTCAGGAAAACTCTCAACCATCATCCAACTCCATATTAAAGAGGTCAAAAAGAGATGTTCTTGTTTCCTTTTTATTTTATTTTAAATCAATTAAACTGTAAATAAATGCTGGAAGATATATCAAATTTGTCTCGCTAAATTCATAAAACAACATCAAATCTGTCTTTAATTGCCAATTAGTTCTCCGAGGAGCTATTGATTAATAGCCATAGGGAACACACGGATATATATCTATACCTATACACGCTCGAGTCTACCCTTTGCTGTCCCTCACATTTTCTACTCCATGCAACACACACGTACAGATCCAGACATCTACCCAGACGTACACGGATTGAGAGCCAAACCATTAATTGATGCTGAACAGTATACGACGGATCTACATGCTATCCTAAGCCATTCATCTCTACAACCCATGCAATCCATAATATAATCACAAAACCCTTGTCCCCATCCCTCACCTCTCTCTCTCTCTCTCTGTTTGTATGTGTATATATATAGAGGTAGCCACTGTGTTATATGTAGCTTATCTTCCACTGTGAGAGAAGAACACAAGAGAGGAGGAGTGGAGGGAGGCTAGGCTGGTGGTTTGGTTTAAGTCTTGTTCTGTTCATGGCATGCATTAACATGTTCAATCCGGATCATCCCAGCCTCCACGACGCGGCGATGAGCCCGCGCATGTCGTTCTCGAGCGACTTCAACATGCAGCCGCCGCCAGCGCGCACCCCTGGCCCGCCGCCGGACTCCGACTTCGAGTTCTCCGTCGGGAGCCACCCTATGATGGCCGCCGACCAGCTCTTCTTCAAGGGTCGGCTTCTTCCTCTCAAGGACAACCATCAATGCGGAGGCCACAGGATTACCACACTCCGCGACGAGCTCCGTGCCAACGGCAGCGGGGAGCGGCTGCCTAAGGGGTCCATCAAGTGGAGGGGCCTCCTTGGGCTCAGGAAGACTGCGGCGAAGAAGGGTGACAAGAAGGAAGACGAGCTCCCGGGCAAGTCTCCACAGGTTGGCATCAGTGACATGCATGTACAACATCTATTTCTTTCTGCATGTGACATTGGTGCATTCAATTTCCTGGCCTCCTCGATCTTGTTTCCTCACATGCATACTTTTCTTGGTTCTCACAGGATCTATGAATCCAACGACGACGGTGCCTAATCTCCGGTCAGGGAGGAGGTGTGCAGTAAATAGAACGCTTCTGCTTCATCTCACTCTGATGCTGCTGTCGTTCGCTTGGGTGAAAAGGTTGTGGAAACTGGGATTTGAGAGGGAGCTCCTTCGATTTTTTTCCAAGTTAGCAGGGATGACCGTGAAGAAACTTTGAGTCGTTCGTGTGGGGTTGGTTGGATGGCATTAACTCTTCCATTAATCTGTGCTTTGTTCTTTTGGGAAGGAAATCCACAGTATTTTCGGACCAGGGTGGTATTCAGCTGTCTACTTTCCATATCAGTTCCATCTGTACAAATCTGCGCAGCTGGAAACTTAATGGTGCTCTGAGCCTGAGTTGAAATCTCTGTCCATGACTTTGATCTGACATCAATCTTGCTTGGCCCCTCTAGGGTTTGGTGCTGTCCTTACCCCTGTCCTTAGAGGTGGAGCAACAGAGACTGAGAACGTGCATGCTAATAATATATTTTGAATCGACTCCTGTCTCCTTCATCTCCAAAGCAATCTTAATTACTTAGCTGTTACACCCAGAACTGAACTCTTCTCTTCTTCCCGTCATTGACATCTCGATTCATAATGATAGAAGAAGACAAAGAAGTAAACTAAGTTAAGAGAGGCAGTAGGCTGTAAGCGTGCAGATAAAAATACTTTAGAGGTCACTTGACTCCTTGGAAGAAACTACGGAAACTTCGCCTTCATTGCCTCATGGCGAACCCCAAAAGCTGGACTCTCACCTCAAGTGCATTCACGAGCTACATCGAAGTAATTAATGTCATCACCATTTTAATGCGTGGGGTTCGCTTCAGTTAATGTTTGGACTTGGCAGTGGCGGATACAAGTAAAGACGACGACTGTGATACAAGAGGAGGATTCTTACCGCTACTTGGAATTCGAGAATGCCAGCGATTCTTGATCATCTTCTTAAGAAAGCATTAATATACCTTCTTACTAAAGCATTCTATGTAGAAAGCGAAAGCTCCATTTATAATACAAGATAAAATGATTAGCGTGCGGCAGGAAAAGGTGCTCTGTAAACAGCAACTGGGATGGTCTTGGAAGCCTGGACTCGGGTCGACTCGCGAGTCGACTCGGTAAACGCGGTAGACTCGCACGAGTTGGTTCGAGTTTTCTGAGTCGAGTCCAGCTGGTTGGGTATAAGTCGGTTCGAATGAACGAAAGATCGTGATCTTTTCCCAAACGCGCGCGACGACGGATCGGTGAACCCTAACTAAGATCTGCCGCCGCCGCCGGAGAGATCCCTGGAGCCGGTAATCTACCGTCGCCTTCTGGTTCTCTCGAGCCGGATCTCTCCGGTAGTCTCGAACGGTCGTCGCTGCCCAGTCTTTCGGTTTCGGTACGATATTCTCACCTCTCCTCAATCTCACTATGACTACCACCGTCTCTTCTCTATGTGATAGCCATCCTCAACCGTCAGAACCCTTCGTCATCCCCAACTACTTCCCTCCCCTAACTAAGTGCTGCTGCTTGTCTTCTCCTTAACAGCCCATAGACGGCCCTCTGCGCGACAGGTTAGCTTTGCAACGCATGGGATAGTGGTACTCAACTGCTCATCACAATTTCCTGTTCTTTCGATATAGACAACTATAAGGTATAATATGGATGGCTTAGTTCTGACTTCTATTTATTCTTTTGACACAATCCATATACATTGTGATTAGGAATGAGTTTTATGTTACAGAATTCACTTAGTCGATCAACACAAGAAATAATTGAATACTTGGTTATGTTACTGAATTTTTTTTATTAGAAATCAAGTTATGATAAATCTTGTAACTTACAGATTATCATATGTTACAATTAAAATCCATTGCAATTGTGCATTTCACCTTCTTTGATTGATATAATTGAAAATTTGAGCCTTTGGATTGCTAAAACGTAAGTAAATTATCGAGAGGAGAATAGCAATATGTTAGATCGTAGTTTAGTGATAGACTATCACTGAGTTGATAGTTACAGAACCAGAAGGATTTTGCTGCAATAAAAAGTATGTTTTTGGACTAGTTTCTTTATCGGTTAAAACAGGGAAAACACTAATCCCTCACTAACATAAATATAGCTAAGATATCCTTTGTCTAGAACAGCTCAAGCTTGAAGATTGACTTTGTACTAGTCTTTAAGCTGGGGATATGTTCAAAGATCCATTTCTTTTAAAAGGAAAAAAAAAATGCAGGATCTGTTTGTTCTCTTCTGGGTAGGTTTCCATGTGAGGGAGTGGAGTTTCTTCAGCAAAATCATACCATCTTTGAGAAGATAGTGAACTTTTGAATACATGAATAAGAGAGATGCCTTTTGCTGGAACTCCAAGGGATAACTTTTTACCAAAAGTTTACTATGAAATTTTGTTTCAATAATTTATTTTACTAGCATATTTGTTGCCTTAGTACATGTTTGTAGGTTTTCATATGGCATTCATTTTGCTTAATCTTATTTTTATATCCAATGACTGCATTGAAGGTTAAGCTTTTAGCCATGGTTCTTACTGGTAAAAGCTTGTTCCAAAGGACCCACTATGAAGTCTTGTCAGTTGAAGAACATGCAAGTTATGATGAGATCAGAACAAGTTACAAAACCGCCATTCTGAATTCTCATCCTGATAAGCTGCACAAGAAATCTGATGCATCTACAGATCACCAACGAGATTTTCTAGATGTGCAGAAGGCATGGGAAGTACTTTCAGATTCTATGTCAAGGGCAAACTACGACAAGGAGTTGCAATCGATGAGACAGGAATTGGAGGTTCCGGCTAATGAAATTGAATTGGGAGATATGTCTGTGGAGTCTGTCGGTGATTTTGAGGAGCTTTTCTATGAGTGTAGGTGTGGTGACTACTTTTCCATCACATGGTCGGAGCTCAAAGAGATGGGCATTATATTGGATAAAGAGAGTGTAGAAGTACATTCATCGACTGTTTCATTACCAGCTTCAGTTCTTATTCCTTGTGGCTCTTGTTCACTGAAAGTTCGTCTGACGATAGATTGCAGTTCTTGAATTGGATTCACTTCTCTTACAATGGAAGAACACCTTTTTTGTGTGTATTTTGCTGTTCCCTGTATTATTTATTTTTCTTGACTTGCAGGGGAGCAAAATTTTGATAGGTGACCTGCCAGTCTAAGACAGTAATCTAATTTTGTCTGTTATGTTCAATGTATTAATACTTTCAGAAAAGAGAGCGGCAGTGCAACCATATTATGAATGTCTTGTATTGCAAATACTTTACTGAGATGAAGCTTTTGTCACTTGTATTGAATATTTGGGTAAGCATTTGTGTCCTGATGTGGTTCAAGATTGAACTTGACCTTATTTATGTCTTGTATTACAAATACTATATTGAGATGAAGCTTTGTCACTTGTATTGAATGTTTGGGTAAGCATTTGTGTCCTGATGTGGTTAAAGATTGAACTTGACCTTATCCACCATCCTGAATATGATGTTTTGCATTCTGATCCTTCCACCAAGGAAAGTGTAATATTAAATTTTGACTGTGGTGACAATTAATGGGGCCTGTCATAGTGTATTCTGCAGATGAGTGTAGGGTAAGATTTGTTTCTTAAACTACAAATTATGTATGTGACAGGAAAAATTATTGTAGTTAATAACCATATCATTTTATAATAATAAAATCATGAATCTACTTCTGTCATTGTAGAGTGTACTCTATATTATAATGTGATACTGACTTGCAGTAGTTGATTCATCCTTACATCAATATAAAGTCAGTGTTTAGATATTATTTTGATTTTTTTTCTTTTGAAGGTAAAAATGTTGACAGTTTTATCTACAGTTCATCAAATGGATGGATAAGATTGAATTTAGATGAATTCTGAGTCCCAATAGTTACTCAAAATTAAATCTTTTGCATTTGTATGAAATGTAATTAAGGTGAATTATATGAAATATATTAAATAGAATGAATTGCAATTGATGTAGCAGCATCCACTTGCAACATACCACCAAACACTTGCAACCAATAATAGTAACTCTTTCTCCTGCTGCGAACTCCCATCCCCCATGAGTTCATACCCATTCTCACAAAAGAGAAGCGGGCCCCACGCCTGGAGACTACGGAGGGGCCCTCGTATTCTGTGTCTCGTTGGCACCTCAACTAGTCAACCCACTTCTCTCACATCCACATGCCACACGTGCCAATCTTTTGACTAGGAAGGAGACCCAATGCATCCATATCATCGCTGTCCTCACCATCTCCTGTGCTCCCCCATCTGCTAGTGCTTCTTGTGAATACCCTGCGATCCGATGAATCCCGACGACGAGATCGTATACGATACGACGCCCCGCCTCATCCGCGTCTTCAAGAGCGGCCGCGTCGAGCGCTACCTCTGCACAGACGCCACGCCCGCCTCCGTCGACCCCGCCACCGGAGTCTCGTCCAAGGACGTGCTCGTCTCGCCGGAAACCGGAGTCTCGGCCCGCCTGTACATCCCGATGCTCCGCGAAGGCGATCGACCGGAGCAGAAGCTCCCCGTCCTCGTTTACTTCCACGGCGGTGGCTTCTGCCTCGGCTCTGCCTTCATCCCGCTGTTCCACAACTACCTCAATTCCCTCGTCGCTCAGGCCCACGTCGTCGCCGTCTCGGCCGACTACCGCCTCGCTCCGGAGCACCCGGTCCCCACCGCCCACGACGACTCGTGGACGGTCCTCCGCTGGGTGGCCGGCCACGCGGGAGGAGTGGGGGGGCCCGCGGCGGAGGCGTGGCTGGCGGAGCGCGCCGACTTCGAGCGGGTGTTCCTCGCGGGCGAGAGCGCGGGGGCCAACATAGCCCACCACATGGCCATGCGAGCGGGGATCGGCGGGCTGCCGTGCGGCGTGACGATCCGCGGCGTCGCGCTGATCCACCCGTACTTCCTGGGATCGGACAGGGTGGAATCGGCGGAGATTTACCCGGCGGCGACGGAGAACCTGGAGACGCTGTGGAGGACGATGTGCCCGTCGTCGTCGGGGTTGGACGACCCAATGATCAACCCGGTGACCGAGGCGGCGCCGAGCCTGGCGGGCTTGGGCTGCGGCCGGGCGCTGGTGTGCGTAGGCGGGGCGGACGCGCTGAGGGACCGGGGACGGGCGTACTATGGCAGGCTGAGGGAGAGTGGATGGGAAGGGGAGGCGACGCTGTTCGAGGCGGAAGGGAAAGCGCACACTTTCCATCTCTTCGAGACGGACTGCGAGGAAGCCATAGCCCAACACAGGGCTGTTTGCTCCTTCCTTAATCTTTAGTTGCATGTGATGAGTGGATGGCAAGAGCGATTCCGGCGATCTCACTGAATCGATCCTCTTTGGTAGTGAGAGTTTGAATCATGTCAATTCATGGTTGGTTTGGCTATGAACTAAGTTTGATCCTTTGGCTGTTGACAAAAGGGTTGTTCTTTCTTTTGGTATTGGGGATCAGAAATGCTTGAAGGCGATTCAATTACTTTTAATTTTAAATGAGGTTCAGATGCTTTTTGGTCGATTTATATACAAATATAAGTCAAAATGTGAGTCCTAATTTAATTTAGTTTGGGATTGAGATAAGACAGACTTTGTGTGCACTATCTATTGGCAACCTAATAGTAATTGTTTTTTTTCGTCAAGGTCAAGTTTAATTTAAGACATTTATTTTGTTGTCTCGAATGGAATGGAAGATACATATATCATTAATATTGATATCACTCAACAAAAAAATATATCATTAATATTGATATCATCCAAAGATTATTTTTATAAGTATTATACTGAGAGCTAATTTCGATCCTCGATATTGTAATTCTATATTTGATAAGTGATTATCTATGAACTCTTATATTCTGTTTTGTATTTGATAATTTATTTTCGTCATAAATATGTGAATCGTTTGTTGAGCTCTATATGCTCATCTCGTTGCTATATAAATTGTTTAGGATGGTTTATCGCTCTCTAAAATATTTAAATTGAATTGAGGTGGTGAAAAATTAGAAGACTTTGGACAAACTTACAGTGGATAATATATTTTTAATATATAAATACATTTGATGTTTAATGAAATGTTGATGATAAATATAAACTTATTCTTTTAAGCGTAAACCATAAAATCCTCAAATATCCGCAACTGGTTGCGTGGACTCGACTCTCCAACGTGGCTTGTTTTGGAGAGCAAGAAACACAATCTCACGTGTTATTGGACGATTCTACTCGAAGAATCCAACCTCGTCTGTTCCATTTGGATGATTTGTTCTGTCTTTTCGTATGATATATTATATTGTTAGGAGGTATGTCCAAATCATACCGCTGCGAAAAAATATATAAATGGATAAAGAAAAGCTGAAAGAGTAATAAAAGGCGGCTTATATTTTAGCTCTGCAAACCTCCAAATCTACTGTAGGATTTGATTGTTGTTTCTCCTCTTTGGTCAAACAGTACTCTCCCTCTTCCCTTCCCCTCACCTTCCCCGCAGCATTTCTCATTTAAGACTCCACCTCCGTTCTCCATCCGTATCTCCATGCTGTTCCTCTTCGAAGGCCATCAAGAAAAAGAGACACGCATAAAGGCTTGAGAGAGAGAGAGAGAGAGAGAGAGAGGGGGGTGACGATGGAGGTGGTGGTGCCGGTGCAAGACTTGCACTTCGACAGCGCATGCACTAGCCCCTACGTGAGCGCTCCGTCGAGCCCGAAGCTCCTCGGCGAACCCTTCGACTTCTTCCGCCACTACACCAGCGCTCCGACCAGCCCGACGCGCGCCTCCGCCATCTACGCCCGCTTCGACGCTGTCTCCTACAACGATTCTCTCCCTCCGGCGGCCGCCGCCTCCGGCAACGGCTTCGACTTGGAGGAGAAGCCCGGCACGACCAAGCCCCGCGGCAGATCCGCCAAGGATGAGCAGGAGGACGTGTCTGACTTCGTTTTTGAGTTCAGTGGCCACCTTGACAAAGATGGGTTGCCGGTGCTGACCACCGCCGATGAGCTCTTCGAAGAAGGGAGGATCCGGCCGCTGAAGCCCCCTCGTCGAGTGACGCATCAGGTTATGGAAGACGCGAGCAGCGTGGCCTCCTCGCCGAGGTCACCGAAGCAGAGGGGTTTGTGGTCTCCCTGCCACCGAGGCAGTGGAGGACGGGGAGAAGAGTTTGAGCCCTTCTCCGCAGCGACGGTGGACGTGACGAGAGATCGAGGGAGCGAGAAGAAACCTAACCCTCCCTCGTTCTCTTCTTCCAGACGTCGGAAGGGATGGAGATCGCTCTCTCCGCTCAGAGAAGGGGGTCTCTTCAGGACAGCTGCCAACAACTCTCCTCCTCCCCCCACCGTTTCCACAGCCGCCCTGAAGACTGGCGGCGGCAGCGGAAGCAAGAAGTGGCGGCTAATGGATTTACTCCTCTTCCGGAGTGCGTCTGAGGGACGCGCCACCGGCAATCGGAGCAAGGATCCTCTCCGCAAGTACACTCTGCTATCACCACCATCATCATCAAACAAGAAAGCCACCACCGAGGACTTGAAGAACTCGAGCTTCAGATCGACCGACAGCAGCGGGTCGATCAGGAGGCGGCGTGCGTCCTCGCATGAGATGCACTATGCCGCGAACCGGGCAGCCTCGGAGGAGCTGAAGAAGAAGACCGCACTTCCCTACCGGCAGAGCCTTTTCGGTTGCCTCCGCTTCAACCCGGCCGTGCTCAGCATTTCCAGGGCATTCGACAGCCGACGATGACGATGATGAAGATTCTTGTTGTCCTTCGCTTGTAATAATAATCAGAACGACGCCTCATGCAATTCAAAACACCAATCTCTATTCCTCTGTTACGTATTTACTCCCTGTCTCATATCAAGTAATCTGAGATGATGAACGTAAAGGGAACAGTTACCCTGCAGAAGAGTCTGGTATGCGCATATGAACATAAACACGCAAGATATGTCGAGGTTTCCCATGGACAAACGGCAGCAAGAACGCAATGTCAGCCCACGCTCGGTGAAGAAGGTGAAACCACAGTAGAAGTCGAGACCATCTGCTTCAGCTACAGTGAACCTGCGGCACGGCGCAGCGTGCATCGCAGCTTTCGACGGCAGGGTTCCATTGACTTTTCCTATGTGAGCCATGGCTTTACATCGGTTTCCCCACCGCCGGGGCCTTCTCCACGTACCACACCTCGCTGCTTTCTCCGACAGTTCTGCTCCTGTCGTTCGGGGTTTGGACAGAAAGTCCAATCCGATCGGTGAAAACGGACGCTGATTACAGAGGAAGAGTACTACTGTAGGTTTTGGTCTGTAGCTCGCACAGGTCAAACGCATGAGAGCATCAAATAGCATCGTGATTTCCATGTCGACGTTGCCGACCACAAAGAGAGCAAATGGGTATAGCCGGACAACAGAAGTTACACTGCATCATGAAAGGTTAACTTCGTCGATGGGCAACAGAAATGGACAGCAAAAGATGGATAGAAATCATAGCAGGTCGAAGATGCAACTCGAGTCCACAGTGTTTGCATCACCTGCTCTCCATCTGGTGGATGATTTCTGAAGCCGAATTCCGACGACCAAAACGCCGTCTGACGACCAGAGTTTGTGGCTATGTTATGAGGAATTATTATGATGTGGATGGCAAGAAAAGAGGTACCCAAAGTCCACAGCGTTATTTATTAGGCTTATCGTGAGTCGCTTGAACCTATAGTACTGGAAAATAGACTATTATTACCTGTGGAAAGTATATTGCACTGTCTGTATTCTTAGATGTTGTTGTCGATCACAATCTCCAATCAAGCTTAGGAGTGATGGGGGTTAACTCCACCAGCAAGTTGGGTGGCCTAAAATGGTGGGCGTGTCAAAGCTCCACATGTGGGTGGTCGGCACAATAGAAGACACTAAAAAACAAGCAAATCGATCGAGAAAGGCGGAGCACCACGTCGTCTTCCACCTCGATTCTGCTCGTGGTGTTGCAGGGTGATAGGGTTATCTTTCGGGGTGCCTGCCTGCAAGCTGTATGATGAAATGCTCAGCGGATTTCTTTGACGACCTCCCTCGGGGACAGAGAGAGCGGTTGGAACAGTAGCAACGCCATGCTGGCTTTGAACAGAGTCCAAACATATGAACGCGATTTAGAATGCGGCACCGCGGATTGTGGTGAGATGCAGAATTCTTGGACTGCCAGCTTCATGTGACTGATAAGAACAAGACAGGAACAAATAACATGGCATGGATTGTACTGTGAAGTGGTTGTTCTCTCATTTGATGCCCAGTCAAACAAGCACAAGGTTACATACCATTCGATACAATAAATGAAGTGGTTTTGCTTCACAAAAGAAATATCAGTATGACTTTCTTCCATTCTTTTCGTTGCAGCCTCCATTGCCTTCAGAGCCTCCGCTTCCTCTTTAGATATCACCTTCGCTTTTTCATCATCCATTTTTCTCCTTTTAACAGTCACTGAAGATTGTGCACCCTTAACAGCTCTCATGGGGTTCAAAGGTGTTGAGATAACCAACCCTGGAGCTCCAGCTTCTGCACAACACAATCATTCATCATTCCATCGAAATTGAGAGTGAAACATAATGAAGTTGTGACATTATTCAGGTCCAGAGATTTTGATGTTAAAAGAGGAGAATAACATGATTATTTCAGTTAAAACTTCATCCCTTTTTGAATACATCATAAGGCCTCCTTTTATAGAGCCAAAATTGTCATGTAACTACAGTAACTCAAAGCATAATTGTGACAAGTCAACAAAAGTTCAAAGACAAGTGAAACCAAGTTTCCTGAAAATAACTCATCAAATGATTCCAACATTTGCCCTAGTCTACATCTCTTGCACTTTGTGCAAATCATTTTAGAATTCATAGTTGGGCCACCATAACATGTCCAAAATGGAAGTCCCATGGACCTGATCCCCGCTCACCCTGACATTTGGCCATCGAGTTTAACCAGATATGGACCAACTCCGATCCTGCTAATAACAATGACATTTTGCATCCACAAACCATTCAAGTCTATACAGTGGATATGGGTTCAGGTTAGCAGACAAATAGGGTCAATGTCTGGAATCATCAACATATGAAGGTCTCAGTATTGAACTCCTTAGATAGGAGACAAATTTAGAAGACTGGCAACCTTACCGTACAATGCGGAGTCAGCTAGCAGATATTACTCGGAATATCATGGTGAGTGAAAGAAAGGTTTAATAATGTGACATGCAAGTGACTGTTGACATGGTATGCAAATCAAGTTCTGCGGAAGTAATAGTATGCATGTTGGTTTTCAAAGTTCAGAAGAATAATTTGAGAAGAATATTTGTCTTTTTACCATTTCTAGTTGCAGCTGAACACAGGGCTTCATCTGTAATTGTCTTATTAGATTGCAGTCCATCACTAGTATCAACTCTCTGGAAAGAAGCCAAATCATTCTGGTAGCTCTTTTTTGCTTTCTGCATGACACATTAAAATATAAAGAATCATCAAAACAAACATTTCAATCATGATAATAACACTAGATTAACATCAATGTCATGGTTCATAGGAAAATTACTGCTACTATTTCCTTTAGGGCACGTGCTGCTTCTTTTTGTTCCTTCTCCCTGGCACTGCTCTCCTTTCTCATAGTAGCAAGCCTCTTAGCAACATTGTCCTTGTGGCGCTGACCAAGTTCATGAGTTCTGATGCTCAAAGGGTTGTTTGCAATATAGGTCTTGCAGAAATCACACCATTTTTTTCCTTGACTAACCCAATACTGCAAAAAACATGCAGAAAAAGATACCATAAACTGCTTCTGGAGTAGTAAGACAGCAATGAAATGACTCTAAGAACCAAGCTGAAATTTTCTTTCACTAGATCGGTCACTTTACTGCAATAATCAAAAGAATATTATTGACAAAGGATTCACATAACTCCTGGCAAAAGGAGAAAGGTGGAACCATAATACAATTAAGGAGATCAAAAATACTGGTATCCCCATATCTCGAACACTGTTTATCCATCTAAAGATTATTTCTAGTATAAAAAAAAGCATGCAACCATCAGTCTTCTGAATCTCATTTATACCTTCTTCAAAATCAACATATGGTTCAAGATTGTACAGAAGTAATATAACCAGCATCCAGAGGCATGTAAATTTCAAAACAAATAATTCGCCCCCAATTGTTTTTGCAAGAAATCAGTGACTCTTCCTCCAGAACACACATCAAAACGGCATCATCAAGTTCCTTATCTCATTTGCCACTCAAGAAAGAGATAAACCAAAAGAAGATTACCATCATCATCATTCTAAACATCAGATTATTCCAGAAATGTTATTTCGCATCGAAGCTTTTGCACCGTTCCTCTATGCCCCTTCCATAGAGTGAGACAAAGAACCCTAATTTGAAGAAATAGACCAATCGAGAGCGGTTACCTCCGTCATGCTGGAAACGATCAGGACCGAGTTCTCGAGGAGAAAGGGCGAGCTCTGGCGATCGCAGTCCTTTCCGGGAAGAGTCTCGATCGAGGTTTATGATTATATCAAAAACTGTTAACGGATCGGATCGAGTCGGATCGTCAATATACAATCCGAGCTTATTCAGATGTGGGACCATGGATGGAGATTGGGTTCGTTAAACCCAAACGTCCCTCGCCCAACCCGATCGATGGACCCAATTGAGCCGGCTTTGTAGAACCTAAATCGGGTTTGGGCCGGGAGGTCCCAACTCGACCGTAATAATAAGGTAGGGTCCGAACAGGACCAATTCAGTAATATGTATTATACATAATTAAAAGCTCGTTATATATATATAATATTTAAAAGAAAGTGCAAAGGTGGGCTACCGAATGGTCATTTGGATTAATGATGGTGTGTGTGCATAAGCTGATTTATTAAGAGCAGCACTGAAAATAGTAACTGCAAAAATTGCATAAAGTGAATTTTTTTTGCATTAATCCCTCTGAATTTTGAGTTAATATATTATATCTTTATTTGGGATTCATCATCTTCCTTGAACATTCAAATAAAAGGCACATTACAGAGAGCATTGTTAAAGACCTGCAAACAGCTTCTACCTGATTTATATATATTCACAGTGGTTACTGTGAATATAAAAACTAAATATTACAAGCAAATAGAAAATAGTATGAGTTTATATGAAGAAGTGAATAATTGCAACATTCAGGAACTTCAGAAGCCTCAAGATATGTGGATGAACATGGTACCAGACACAACTATCAGACTATTCAAGATAACACCAGTTTGACATTAGCTAGCAGATCCATATCAATCACAATCTCAAATCTGTGACTGATTCTGAAGATACTCCTAAGCCTTTCTCAATTTGAAGTAAAGACACTATATCATAGAGATTGGGTAATACAATACCTCTCTTTACTTTTTACCTCCCCCCACATATGCAACCTGACATATGTTGGCATGATCTTCAGAGAATGGAGATAAATTCCTTCTGAATAAGATAGAAATATCTCAGCCTGACTGAACAGATGAAAACTATAAATAGGAGACATATGGTGAGTGTAATACAATGAAGAAGTACCTGTAAATGAGTCTCTTTTACTCTGCCAACCTTGTTTGTTTGCTGATAACCCACAAACCAAGGTTTGGGTGTTGAACATGAAAACAAAGTGGATGATGGAGCATGCAGTTTTGACATGATGATGTAGTGCAAAATTGTGATTGATTGAGCAATCAAGATATGTACTGCATCAAGAGTCATGGTTCTAAATGGCATTAATCAACCACAGGTACTAAAACTCAATGGGTGAAGGCCTTGTGATGCTTGTTCTAATCCTAGGAGCTCTGGTTCTAGTTGAAAATGACCACACACATGATCAATATTTTGCACTCCCTTACCCAATAAATGAGGCACTCAAGGATGTAGTATAACTTACATGACAAACAACAAGAAGTTGCATAACATCAATCTTATAAATTAAGTGGTGAATGAAGCAATAGTTGGGAAGAATTCAAAGTCCAAGACAGCAAGGGAGAACCCAGATCTCTTAGAGGTGATTACAAAAGAGGGCATATCTCCAGACACCTAAGGAGACAACGACGAATTTAAAATGAGCATAGTAAATTGTTTGCCAACTATTTTCGTCGGGTGATCTTTGTATCTGATTTTATGTGATTCATAAAGCAAATCAAAGATAAGAAACTATTGAAAAACATTCAGAAATCTAATCACCAACTGATCATATGACACAAAGTCCCAAGGATTAGAATGAACTCAAAAATAAAGGTTCAATAGAAACCCTTCAAACCCATAAAAATATTTTGAACCAGAGACAGGGATCATTACCAACAATTCAGCAAGCTTGCAAATCTAACAATTGCAAAAAAGTGCTCTTTATAGTTAATTGCCATGATTTTATTCACGCTAAGCTTCAAACAATTGCCTTCAATCAAACATGTGGAGATGTTGTTTTGTCTAGTCAACGTCAAGCTAAATAAGCATTGCAGACAAGGATGACAACAACAAGAACCACAAGAGGCCAGCAAAACATTCTACAAGCAATAAAACATTCTACAAGCAATACTATACAGACAAGAAGTTTGCCAAAAGCACAAGCGAGACAAGTTTCTGATGATGCTCAAGGTTGAATTGACGCAGTTAATGTCAGTCGAGGAAATGGGTTGGCAAAACACAGGCTTTTTTCCTCACCTGTCAATACTTCACCTTGCTCCTGACCCAAGCTTCTGCTGTCGCTCATAGAGATCCTCCGCCAATGCCTGTCTCAAGCTCTCACCCATATAGTGAAGAGATCGTTCACTCTCCACCAGGCTGGCCGGCTGCGGACTCTCGGGCGGATCCCGCCACATGTACCTCCCTTCGTCTTCCGGCTCCTTGGCGAATTGACACATATTGTGCAGAACCACGCATGCGACCACCGTCTGGGCCGCATGATCAAGCCCTACGTTGAGGTTCCGAAGTATCTTCCATCTTCCCTTGAGCAACCCGATAGCAGCCTCCACCGACGCTGCCCGACCTTTAGCCAGAGCAGAATCGAATGCCTCCAGTGCGGGGGCACTCGAAGTGGCCGCCGACGAGGACGACGAGAAGGGAGTGAGGAGGAAGGGGAGAAGGGGGTAGGAGGAGTCCCCGACGAGGTAGGGGCGCACGTGCTGGCCGCGGACGGAGATGACGTGGTCCCGAAGGGGGAGGGCGCCGCTGCTGCCATTGTTGTCGAGGAGGAGGCGGTAGAGGCTGCTGTCTCGGAGGTGGGAGGCAGGGTCCGAGGAACCAGGGGCGCGGACGCAGGCGTCCCAGAAGACCTTGCGGTGGTCGGCAACGGCCTGGAGAAGGATAGAGGGGAAGGAACGGCTGGGGGATCGGAGGAGGTCGGTACCGGGTTCGGGGGCGGAATTGGGGTGCGAAGGGTTGGGATGAGGGGCTTGCCGGAGGCGTAGACGGACGGGGGAGGAGGCGATGGCGGCGGCGAGGTTGGGGAGCGCGGTGATGTCCTTGAAGGACTGGAGGGTGGAGAGGAGGTGGTCGGGGTTGGCGGGGAGTGTGACGTAGCGGGGGTAGAGGCGAGTAGAAAGGAGGCGGGTGAGGGCGTGGGTGCATCGGGAGACGAGGGCCGGGGGGAGGGAGAGGGAGCGGGCGAGGGAGCGGGACGAGAGGCCGCGGGAGAGGCGGGCGAGGGCAACGGAGAAGGCTCGGTCGAGGGGGAGCGACGAGGGAAAGGCGGCGGAGGCATCGAGGTGGCGGAGGTTCTTCAGGAGGGTCTCGAAGACGGGGTGGGAGACGCCGTAGAGAGAGCGAAAGCGGGCGTCGCGGGCCGAGGGCTCCAAGGAGAGGACGCGATCGGAGGAGAGGAAGAAGAAGCCGGCGGAAGGGGAGGCGACAGAGCGGGGGGGAGGGGGTGGCGGAGGAGGGGAGGGGGAGGAGGAGCTGCGGCGGCGGCGGCGGCGGGATCGGCGGTGGCGGAGAGTGGAGGAGGCGTAGGAGAGGACAGAGGCGATGGCGAAGAAGAGCAGCGGGGCTGCAGCGGAGGATGCGGCGGCGGCGGAGGAGGAAGGGGGGTTCGAGGAGGAGGTGGGATCGAGGTAGGTGTGGAGGTGGAGGAGACTGGAGAGCATCAGCAACAAGGACGGATCATCCATCCTTCTTCTTCTTCTTCTCCTCCCTCCTCTCTCTTCCCCAAATGACGACGGACGGGGAAGAAGGGAGAGGAGACGGAGAGAACACGGCGGAGACTCCTCGATGCGCACAACTCGGGAGGCAAACGGCTTTCCAGAGCAGAACGCGACGACGAAACAAACCGTGAGCGTTCAACTCCAACTCGGTTGCTGTAGTGCGCTCCAACCAAACCAAAAACACTTCTGCGTTGTGGAGCCGAAGACAACGACAAGGGCTATTACGGCCTTGTCGTTTGGGCCTGTGTTCTTGTGGGGAAGACCAGACCGAGCCGCGGCCCTCATGTCGCCTACTTAACAGGCCGATAGAGAGGCCCAATTCGAGATGAATAAGAGCGTGCATGAAATGCACGAGTTAGGCTTCGAATATTTCAGTGATGGGATAAGTTGACATGCACAGTGAAATATGGGTCACGTAAGCTGAAAGTGAGTGCGAGCATGCTATGAAGAAAGAATCTTAAGTAAAATTTAGTGGGCAATAATTGAAAATGACTTGATAAGACTATCATGAACTGCTTATTTTCTTTTAACTTTGTTCCAACAATTTGAATGGGAAGATAAGGACGATCGGTAGCATGGTGACTATTATTTTCAAGCCTCACTATAGTGATTCGTCACTATACTGTTTGAATTGACACAAATGAATGCAAAATGATTTTAATGACCTACCCTTCAGAAGAAGACTGTTGTATGTCCCAACAAAGCAGCATCTGTTATTAGGTTTTTTTTATTTATTTAGGGTGTCTAGATATAATACTTTCTATTGTTTCTAGAAAAAAATAATATAAATTTTTCATAATTTATGTGAGAGGAATATAAAGAAATTATGATTTTAAGTGTGGATAATATAAGAGTCTTGTAATTAATTTCATACCGTAAAAAATTTGATGTAGACAAGAGTTACTCAACCATATTATAAACCTTACGTCGGCTTTTTATTATATTCCTTATATATTAATCTCTAGGTTTCTTCGTATGATTTTGAGTTTTTTTTTTGTTCTTCTTTCCCATCCCAACAAAATAGCATCAGAGCCGGATTCAATAAGAATGAGCATTGAATATTAGAAGGAGCAAAAGTTATTCTATTCGAGATATATAAAAGTGGATAAAATATGATAAATATTTTATGATTTCTGAAATCAATATCCTAAAAGGATAAAAAATCTTGGTACGAAAAGGAGTATTTTCATAAAGAAAGAATACATATATAATTAGAGTTTAGTTTTTTTTATAAATATCTAATGCATCTTTAGATTCTAATAAGAAGAAGAAAAAGTTATTATAAACTTTTGGTGCTCGTAAGTTTTCTCTCTTGCTTATCTAGATAACATTTTTTTAGAGTTTTTAGAGAGAAAAAAGATATAAATTCTTTAAAATTTATATGAGAGGACATATACTAAAATTATACTTAAGTGAGATAATTCAAGAGTCTTATAATTATTCTCTGATAATGAAAATTTTAGTTTTCTGAGTGGATATCGACATGAGTTATCAAACCATGTTAAAACTTACGTTTGAGTTTGATTTTAAGTTTTTTTATTCTTTTCTGTCCCTCTAACAAGGAGACTTTGTAAGTATAGATACTACCCTTATGACTATGATACCATACGAAGAAACGAAATATTATATATATATATATATAGTAATAAGATATCACTAGTTCAAGATCTAACCAAACAGAATGGAAAAAAATTATAATAAAAAAAAAATTTATATTAAACTTTTAAAAAAAATATATTTATAAGAGGATCCTATAGTTGAACTCTATAAACTTAAATACTTGAATGAATATATGCATCTGGATTTTATATTTACTTATTATGGGAGTATAATAGTAACTCTAATCACATCAAGAGAATATTTTTTATTTAATTAACTAAAATTCTATCACTTTTCAAATCTCCCAAAGATAACTTAAAAAACTTTACACAAAAGTGGAAAATGACAGATCAGTGCAAAAAGTCAAAGAAGGGGGGCCCAAAGTTAGGTTTGTCTTGTGCTTTACCAAATGATTGAATCAGGATTCAATATAATCCCAGTCTAATATATCCATTTACTTCTCATGGACTTATCCATCTCTTAGTGTCTCCCATTAATGTATTTTCTTTTTTTTTTAGTGGATCATCATGGAGATCCAACTCACCTTTAAATGAGCATGACTTGACATCCCTCAAATGCGTACGAGATTCTCCACCGGAAAACAATCACTGTTCAGGGCAGCTGGCTCATCCTGTTTCTTCCATACACTTCAAAAGATGCTTTGTTTCTTCCCAGTGGAGATTTGATGACCACGGTTCTCGGTGTGCAGTCCTTGTTATGGTCCATAAGCAAGCTTTTGATGAGACTTGAGAAGTGCGTGAAAGGAACTGCCAAGCACGAGGAAAGCTGCCGCATGTAAGAGGAATCAGTGGTCTTAGCTTGCGTCGGGCACCACTGTTGCTTGTTGCAAGGAAAGCATGCTTATTGCAATTAATGTGCAAAGGAGAAAGAACGGCTCCTTTATTACACAGTGAACTGACACACATCATGACACGCTCAGAAACAACGAGGAAGAAGCAAATGCATTCTCGTAGTAGACTGTAAGGGAGACGCCGCTAGCTGCGTTGGCATCTTTCTCAGTGGCCATTGGCGTTTGCTTTCCTGAGGCGCCGTTCTTGGGAAAGTCGCTGCGCGAGGTGGGTGAGCGCGTCTGCGTTGGTTCCCTCTCCGTCGAGCTCCTCAAAGATGCCTGTCTCCAGGTTGACTCTCGAAACTGGCTTCTTTAGAAGGTTCTTCCCGATCTGCACCAGCTCCTGTAGGTTCTCCTTCGTGGACACATCGACAGATGACCTCTCACCTACCAAGGTGTCATCCTGCACATTCACATCATTCATTGAACGCGAAGATAAGAACAGCAGCGACTTATTTTAATGCCGAAGTTACCTGAATCCTGAGGTAGTTCTTCTCACAATTAAGTGACTGGAACAGAGACGACATGTGGATGTCAACCACATCGGCGCTTCCTTGAAAGAAGCTGTCGATCAAGGGGGTCGAACCACCATGATACAGCCACTGCAGAACTCCCCATTTGGACGCTAGATCTGCACTAAACTTCTGCTCTATCTTAGCCGAGCCAGTCCCGATCGAGATGACGATGAAGTTGTGGTAGTCTATCGACTTAAAGTTGGCAAAATCCTTGTTCATCAAAGCGATTTCCTTCTTGATTTGGCTCATGGCAACCAAAGTCTAAATCAACCAAACAGCGACAAGATAGTCATCGATCTGAAAACAAGGACGTATAACGCGGTCGCAAGTCAGCAAAATCATGCTCACCGGGTTGTTTGCTGCGATGCCGCCGTCGATGAGGTTGTAACTACGAGTGTTTCCGTCGGAGTCTTTAGTTTCAAAGTAATGTGCCGGGAGGTAGGTCGGGGCGGCCGACGTACTGATGCAGATGTCAGCAAGATGAGCATCCTTCACAGCCGCAAGTCTTGCCTGAACAGTAGGTCAATCAGATGAGCACAAGTTTGCCTCGACTCCGAATCTCAGCGTCGAAGCTTACGAGACGACCAAGATCAGTACCTCGAAGGATGAGAAGATGACTGGCTGCAGAAGCTTGATGTCGAAAGTTGGGATTATCACGTTGGTTAAGGTCTGACTTAGCTTTGTTTCGGTGAGCAAATCCTTTACTTTGGTGTGCAGAAATTTCCCATCATATTTCGGCCCCATGATCGCACCGGCTAACTTCGTCACCGAGCTGAGAAATCCTTTTCTGCGATGGAATTCAGATGCGTTAACAGTAGCTGTTTTGTGCGTACACGCACATGAGCTTGTGCATGAACTCCCTAACTTACGCTTGAGGAAAAATCTTGGGGCTGTTCTCGAGGTAGAAGTCGATCACTTCCTTCGCAGAGAACATTGGGCGGTTGTTCTCGTTCGGAGCAGTGATCATGGCCGTGAGCAATCCTCCTGTGCTCGTTCCCGTAATCACATCAAAGTAGTCCGCGATCCTGGCGTCCGGTCCATCCAGTTCCTGAACCCACACAACATAAATACGTTTCACTGCATGGACAGATTTATAGCAACTGGTTCATGGGGCATGCACGCAGGAAGGAAGAAGACGATGGTGGCAGACCTGCAGCTTGGATTCGAGAAAGGAAATAATGGTCCCCGGAATGAGGCCTCGAACGCCTCCTCCATCGATGCTCAGCACCGTGATCAGCTTCCCCTTGGAGGGCGGCGGCGTGTGCGGATGCCTGCGATGACGGTGGCAGTGATGGGAGCTCGATTTGGTCGTCTCCGCCATGGCCGGATCTCAAAGCTTCCAAGGTGGTGAAGGCGAGCAGAAGCAGCAGAGTTCGGTCTTCACTGATCTACGAGCTCCCACCGGAGTATGGGGCTTGTTATATAGATGGAGATCTATCGATGCGATTCCGAATACGACACACGTTTCACACGAGTTGGAATTCTTCGAACTCATCTCATCCGAATTGCACGAAAACATGTCCTTATATCATATACACACATTAAATTCGTCTCGATTCCACTTAGCCTTTATCTTCTCACTTAATTATTGACCCTATCAACAATAATAAACAAATATACATCGGCCCATTTCCAATGGGTCCAAAATATTGAAGCCACATGTCATGTCTCCTCCCTCGAGTGAAATCTATTACAACATGTACGAAGTTGGTACCAATTGATTTATCATGGTGCTTATATCAATGATCATCGAACAGCGCTACAAATCATGAGAAAGCATGGGATCCTATGTTGTAATTTGCAGCTTGATGTTTTATTATCACGCAACCTAAGCGTATTAATATGCATTACATAGGTGTCTTTATCACAGTTATCATTGGAAATTTATATTGAGAGGGATAAAACAAAATTGAGCCATGATTTGTCGGAACTCGAAAGGCTGTAGACTTCATCATGACAAAATTTGAAGTATAATTAATTATGCTATCACTTAGTAGAAAATGTAACATTCTGACTGATCAAATTTTGACAAAAATTAGGGGCCTCTTTTTGCCGTAAAATGATGTAGAATGAAAATAAAATTAAAAAAATATTACTAGAAAGGATTTTAAGAAATTGATTTTATAACGAAAAAGGAAGACGAGAGAAATCAACTTCTTATAGTAAAATTCTTTTATAATATTTAAATATATTATTATTTTTTATGATTTCATATATTTGGAGGAAGCATTTATTTATACTAGTTTTAGATCTTGAAAACTAGCTAAGTGAGATAATTAAAAATATATATATATTAATAATATGAGATAATTGAAAGAAAAATAAAAGTGATAATAAGACAAATTTAGATTATTTAAAAATAGTCTTTTTTTTATTTG